GACAGAGTCTCGCTCTGTCGCTCAGGCTGGAGTACAGTGGCCTGATCTTGGCTCACTGTGACCTCTACTTCCCAGGTTCAAGCAATTCTGCCTCAGTCACTGGAGTAGCTGGGATTACAGGTGCATGTCACCACACCCAGCTAATTTTTGTATTTTTAGTAGAGGTGGGGTTTTACCATGTTGGCCAGGCTGGTCTCGATTTCCTGACCTCAGGTGGTCCACCCACCTGCCTCAGCCTCCCCAAAGTGTCGGGATTATAGGCATGAGAGCCACCATGGCTGGCCCTTTTTTAAAAACAACAACAACAACAACAATTTTTAGGCCAGGTGTGAGGGTTCATGCCTGTAATCACAGCACTTTGGGAGGCCAAGGTGGGTGGATCATTTGAGGTCAGGAGTTCAAGACCACCCTGACAACATGATGAAACCCTGTCTCTACTAAAATACAAAAATTAGCTGGGTGTGGTGGAGGGTTCCTGTAATCCCAGCTACTTGGGAGGCTGAGGCAGGAGAATCACTGGAACCCAGAAGGCGGAGGTTGCGGTGATCTGAGATCATGCCACTACTGCCCTCCAGCTTGGCTGACAGAGTGAGACTCTATCTCAAAAAAATAAAAGTAAATAAAAAATGAAGACAAATTTTTAGCAGTTTGATTAAGGTATAATTGCTGTATCATAACGTTGTAAGTGATTTTAATGAATTTGCAGAGATTTACTACAAAAATTGACCATATTCCCTAAAAGATCTCTTTTGGATATTTGCTGTCACTCCCCATTTTCACCCTCAGTGTCCTGGGCAACCACTAATCTAATTTTCTGTCTCTAAATTTAACTCTTCTAGACATTGTACATAAATGCAATTATATAGAATGAGTTCTTTTGGGTCTGGCCTCTTTAACTTATCATAATTTTTAGAGGGTCATCAATGTTGTAACATGAATTAGTATTTCATTCCTTTTTGGGGGGAGTGGGGAGCAGGGTCTCCACTGTGTCCCCAAGCTGGAGTACAATGGTACAGTCATGGCACACTGCAGCCTCGACCTCCCCGGATCAAGCAATCCTTTCACCTCAGCCTCCTGAGTAGCTGGGAGGCACTCACCACCATACTTAGCTAATTTTTAAAATTATTTGTAGAGGCAGGGTACATTGCTAAGCCTGGTCTCAAATTCCTGGGCTCGAGTCATTTGGGCCAGTATAAGGCCCAAAGCTCTGTCCTCAGGGAGCTTGTATTCCAGTAGGGTAGACAGGCAATAACCACATAATGTCGGGTGGCAAGCATGAGTGAGGGAAGAAGAGCTATTTCAGATAGTGTGGTCAGGGAGGACTTTTTGGAGGAGGTGACACAGGGCAGAGATCTGAAGATACAATCTGAGGTCTGGAGCCAGAGGTTCTTTCCAGGCAGAAGCCAGCTCTGGTAGTTCAGGGCATAGGAAGATGTCTACCCTGACATCCTGGGATTCTTTCCTGAGTATTTTTGGTTTTTTTTTTTTTTTGAGACGGAGTTTCGCTCTTGTTACCCAGGCTGGAGTACAATGGCGCGATCTCGGCTCACCGCAACCTCCGCCTCCTGGGTTCAGGCAATTCTCCTGCCTCAGCCTCCTGAGTAGCTGGGATTACAGGCACGAGCCACCATGCCCAGCTAATTTTTTGTATTTTTAGTAGAGACGGGGTTTCACCATGTTGACCAGGATGGTCTCGATCTCTTGACCTCGTGATCCACCCGCCTCGGCCTCCCAAACTGCTGGGATTACAGGCTTGAGCCACCGTGCCCGGCCCTGTTTTGTTTTGTTTTGTTTTGTTTTAATGGAGTCTGTTGCCCAGGCTAGAGTGCAGTGGTGCAATTTTGGCTCACTGCAACTTCCAGCTCCCAGGTTCAAGAGATTCTCCTGCCTCAGCCACCCACGTAGCCGGGATTGTAGGCACCCGCCATCATGCCAGGCTAATTTTTATATTTTTAGTAGAGACAGGTTTCACTCTGTTGGCAAAGCTGGTCTTAAACCTCTGACCTCAGGTGATCTACCCACCTCAAGCCTCCTGAAGTGCTGGAATTACAGGCATGGGCCACCTCGCCTGGCCTGACGTCTGTTATCTCTTGAAGGAGCCTGGCTGGAGGGTGAGGGAGCCGCTCTGGCCTTTTCCTGCATGGAAACCTGTGAGCAGGTGGAGTGCACACTGAAGCGATGAGAGGGCCTCCTGGGCAGGGGACATCTAGAAGTATATATGCTGTCGTGGAGGGGAGTGGTGGTGGGGGAGGCTTTAAGCACATTTCTTTGGATCTGGTTCTAAGCTGTCCACACTACCTTCATAGGCTGGACTAACTGGGGTTGTAAGTGGCCTGTCTGGCCAAGGCAGGGTTGGTTTGTTGGAACAAACCGTCAAGTGTGCCTGTAAGCCCGGTTCGTCCCAGAGCCGGGGTGTGCCGTAAGCGCCCTGCAGCCTCCCACCACGCTCCTCATCTCATCTCCTGCCGGTGTTGACCCAGAGGTGTCATACACAGCGCCACGGAATGGGGCGTCCACTTGCAGTTGGGCAGGCAGTCTGGAATGAATGGCAGGAAAAACTCCAGCCCTGGGGAGACCACAGGCTTAAATGTATGCCTTCGGCCCCAGCGGCCCTCTAGTAAGTTGAGCCTGAAAGTAACTGTCTCCTGTGTGCTCGGTGCTTCACGGTGTGCACCGCTTGGCCTCAGTCCTTGGTTTATTTCTTCCCTCTTGCCTGTCTGTGGCCAGCAGGGCTGGGGGATGTCACCATCCCAGCCTGTAGGTAAAGAGCTGGAGATGCTGAGAGGGTTGGTCCCCTGGTGGGTGGTGGCAGCTAGCCAGAGACCTGGGTACTGTGTGTGCATTATCTCACTGCATCTCCCAGACCCTCTCCCAAGTGAAGAAGCTGAGCCCTGGGTTGGTGAAGCACTTGCTCAAGTCACCAAGCCCAACTTGGCACAGCTCACACTTCCAACCCAGGGTGCCCAGCTGAGGGAGAGCCCCAAAAACCTGGGGAGGATTAGGGGGACACTTGGATCCTAAGCGTTCCCTTCTTTCGTGCTTACCTGGTGGGAGTGAACGGTGTGCCCACAGGAGGCTGGATGCAGCATTGCAGGGGATGAAAGGCTGTAGGCCTAGCAAGGAAGGCTGAGGATCAGCTGCAGCTTCCACTTCTCGCCCTTGCTGTCACCTCGTGGCTGACCTTCCTCTCTCCACATCTACTCTGTCTGGGCCTGGGCATGCCCCTGCCACATGCGGAAAGAGCCTGTGCCATACCGTTTCTCCCTGGAACTCCTTGGTGGCCAGTGGGACTGTCACTCTGGGGTATCAAGGTGGACGGGGCAGGTGGAGCCCTGCACGTGCCACCCTTTTTCCTTCCCAGAACGCTTGGCCCAGTGTCCACCCACATCCTTCTGCCACCAAGGCTTCCTCCTAATGGGACCGCGGCTTGAGAAACAGGGTCACCCAGGGCTGGGGCTGCCCTTGGAGGTGGGAAGGATGAGAGGTCGGCCTGACTGGGGTGGCCTCCAGCTGAAGTCGGCAGTGGGAGCATGGGCTTAGGGTTCCTGCCAGGCAGAAAGGGGTTTCTTGTTTACCATGTCCTCATCTCCCTCTTTCAGGTGTAGTGTCTTTTCCCATGACCGGGAGTTCATAGAAATAGTTAAGTATAAGATGATCGTGTGCGAGAACGTTGGTACTAAACCAGCATGGACAGTTTCCCGGATTTCTCTGCTACTAACTTCTCTGCACTGAGTGCGACTCACCCCTAACCCGGTGGGAGCACTGACTGGAGGGGGCGGGAGGTTGGTGGTGTGAGCTCTAGATGGTGCATGTGCCCTTGGGCTTGGCATGGGGCGTGTCTTCATGTGAAGGACCTCAGGGAGCAGCGAGAGGGCTGAGCTGAGCTGCATGTGGACGGGCCCTCCTGGGAGGCCCGTGCCCTGTGGCTGAAGTTTTAACAAAACCCTGGGACCAGGGGGCTTCAGGGCTGACCAGGACCTGCAGCACTTCTCAGCAGGAAGCCCAGCCTCTAGCCCCTCTCCCTGGCAGGGGCTGGCTTATGGATTACTCACGTGGGGCCTAAGAGACCTGAATGAGTCCCATCCCTAAGATATGACGTTTGCATTTTCTATTGCCGAGTAGCCGCTCTGTGATTAAAACAAGAGTCTAAAAAGTCAAGGAGTCTCAATGCCCCTACCACTCCCAGGCTGGAGGGCACATTCTTGCTTTGTCCACCCCACTTCAGCCCCTGTCCATAGACAGAAGGGGTTGTGAGTCGTAGCCGTGTAGACGATGAGATGGTGTGTTGCTTTGAAAATTCTGCACAAAAGCCTGGTTCCCAGTAGCTCCACCAGCCCTCAAATTGCCCGTTTCTAAAGCTTTCCAGTAGCCCAGTGATGCTTTCCCGGTGGAAAGCCCAAGGCTCAGTTTTTCAGGCTACCACAGCCGGTGCGTGGAGGCTGCTGGGAGGTTTGTGGTAACTCCATAAGCCTCAGTTCCTCCCTGCCCCATGGGCTCAGGTCCAGCACCCCTGGGTGCTGAGAGGTCAGGGTGCCCTTCACAAGCGGGCAGAGTCTGGGAAGTCCCTTCAGGATGTAGGAGGGCGGGTGCGCCTCGGCTGCTGAGTCCTGAGACTCCTGGGGGCCACCAGGTGGGAAGTGGGCTCTACCCAACAGTAGGCGCCCCAGCTACAGTGCCGGCCTTGGGCTGGGCCCCTCCTTCCTTCTTACTCAAGTCCAACCCCAGATACTTTCAGTTGCCATGATTCTGAGGATCTGGTGCCCCTGAGAAGGTGTGACAGCCCCGCCACCCACTAGCTGGCCCAGGCCCCAAGCTGCCAGCATGGCCTTCTTGAGACCCTGTGTCACCCTCCCAGGAACCAAGAGCACGTGGTTGTCTGATAAGCCTGGCCTTGTGTGACTGCTCGGGACATGCACCCCAAGGTCCCTGTACAGCTGAGCAGGACAGCTCGGGGGTCTAGGGCCATGATCCATGTGTCTGTCTTCTCTCCTGGGTCACAGCCACCCCACGTCATGCTGCAGCGCTGCAGAGATCATGGCTGTCCTCTTTTTCCACACCATGCGCTACAAGTCCCAGGACCCCCGGAACCCGCACAATGACCGCTTCGTGCTCTCCAAGGTAAGAGCCCAGCTGCCCACTGCCAGCCACACCTTGCCTGGGACTGGGGTCACACGGGCCCTGGAATGGTGAGTGGTCTCTGAGGAGGCCTGGCTGAGCCCACCTCTCCCAGGTTCCTTCTCCCTGCTCGTCCTGGCCCCTCCCTCAGTGTCCTGCTCTGTGCTGACCCAGCTGGCTAAGGAATACAGGACTGAATGGGTTGCTCTTCCATGGAGCCAGGGTACATTAACCACGCTTTAACCCAGAGAAATGGAGTAGGAACAACAGAAACATCTGCTGTGTGTTCTGCCCAGTCTCGGTGTTGACAGGCAGGACTGGCATCTAGGTCTGGGTTAGGGCTCCCTGCCTGCTCTTTCTGTTTCCCCAGTACTCCCCAAGCCATGGTTTGCCCCCCTCAGGGTTGATGGTGTGTTGTAGCAGGGTTTTGGATGCAGACCCCCCTGAGCTGCCCCTTCTGGGTGGAATCCCTGCCACAGACCACTGAAATCCACCTGTGCCCAGGCTGGCCTCTGTGGCGTCTGGTCTCTCGGGGCAGGCTTTAGAGCTTAGAAGTCTGTCCAAGTTGTTTCCATGCCAGAAACCAGGGATTAGGGTGCCGGCTGCCCGCTGAGGTTTTGGCTTCATCCAGCCTCACAGCTGTGCCCCCTGCACCTGTCTTAGTGTCGCCTGGCCTTGGCTGTGGGAACTGTGGGCTGAAAACCAAGAGGCTGAAGAGGACTGAAAGGGGAGAAGTGGCCTTCACTTGCTTCCTCCCCTGAAATGGATGCTGCAGTTGGCTGGCTTGGCCAGGCCCCGGGGCTCAGTATGCAGTAGGCACAACCCCAAGCGGATCCACTGCCCACCTGACCCCACCCCACTGTCCATCTCCCGCAGGGCCATGCAGCGCCCATCCTGTACGCGGTCTGGGCTGAAGCTGGCTTCCTGCCTGAGGCGGAGCTGCTGAACCTGAGGAAGATCAGCTCTGACTTGGACGGGCACCCGGTCCCGGTAAGTGCTCCTGCCAGAGCCTGCCACGCCTCTGCCTCTACTTCTTGTTTCCCAGGCATGCAGGACGGCGGGGAGGGGGTGCCCACTGAGAAGCCAGAGGTATTGAAAGGTGGAAGAGGGCGTTAAGACCAGGAAGGAAGCTTTGCGCAGTGGCAGTATTGTAGCCAATGAGGTTTATCGAAGGGGCGATTATTGCTAAAACTTTTCGCAATACCCCGCCGTAACAACTTGCAATACAGTCGGCACTGGCAATTTTTGAGTCTCTACGGTGACTGATCTTTAAATTTAAAAAAAAAAAAAAAAGACCAGGAAGGAAAGTAGCAGGTGTTTTAGGGGCACGTATTCACCCCACACTGGTGCTAAAGGGGAAGGCCTTCCGAGGTCTCAGCTGGGGTGCCCTGGGATGACTTCAGGGAGGGCCTCTCCCCAGGCTTCCCTTGTATGCTGGGTCTCCCTGGCTAGGTAGCTACAGCTGGGGAAGCGAGGGGACTCGATAAGAGGCTGGATGCAGGATTTGGTGACGTCCTGGGGGAGGGACCCGGTTTGTTCCTTGGGGTGCCAACTGGCATCCCTGCTAATGTTTAAACTAAATGGATTACCACAAAAACTGTCACTGTGGTCTGGGTCCCTACAAAGGACAAATGTTCTTTTTTTAAAAAAAGATGGGGTTTCACCATTATGACCAGGCTGGTCTTGAACTCCTGACCCCAGGTGATCCACCCACCTCAGCCTCCCAAAGTGCTAGGATTACAGGCGTGAGCCACCGCACCTGGCAAAGGCCAAATGTTCTGTGTCAGTGTTTTCATGATTTTTTTCTCCCGGCCCTTTGTGAAGTGGTTGACGTGGGAACTGAGGCTCAGAGAGGTTCAGTCCCTAGCCTGAGGCCTGAGGCCACATAGCTGGCTAGTGGGCGGGGCTAGGATTTGAACCTGCAGCTGTAATTAGTTCATTAGGTAGAGGCCACCCTGGGGCCTGACCTTCTGCAGGGGAGGGGCTCTCTGGGTCTGGGTGGGAGTGTGGCTACCCGGGCGGGTGAGGCCAGAATCCCTTCTCTCTGATTAACTACGGCCTTCTGTTATAACAGAAACAAGCTTTCACCGATGTGGCCACTGGCTCCCTAGGCCAGGGCCTTGGGGCCGCATGTGGGATGGCCTACACTGGCAAATACTTCGACAAGGCCAGGTAACACATCTACTCTCACCTACTGCCCGCCCCCACCCTTGGTAGTTTTGAAGAGTGGTCCTCGAGGACCCACCCTTCACTGCCACCCCCCAGGTACTTCCTCTTTCCTGGTGAGGGCAGAGTAATACATACACATGGCCTCTTTTACTCTTTAAACACCCGCTATGGCTGGTGCCATGACCTGCCCTTCTCAAATGAGGAGACATCAGGTGTTAAGGAACCTGCCTCAGGGTCCCTCAGCAGCGACTGGCAGGGCCAGGTTTGCACAGAGTGTATGCTCCCAGTCCTGTGCTCTTCTGCCAGAGTGCTTAGGCTGAGGACTTCCTGTGTTGCCTCCAGCCCTGTGGCCAGAGCCCAGAAGTCTCAGAGAGACCCACCCCCAGGCCCCTGTCTGACTAGGCAACAGGAGCCCAGGCCTGAGCCACTTGCCTTTATCTTGGTAAAGGGGAGGGTTGTGGGTTCTGGGGGGTCCTGGGATACCTGCAGACCACCTCCTATCAGCAGGGAAGAAACAAACATTTGAGATATGAGCCTTCAGAGGGTGGCCTAACCAGAAAGGTGTGCTGCTCCAGCACCCAGCAGGTGGTTTGCAGGAGCAGCCCCTCATGGCCCTGCAGGCAGGTTCTAGCCATAAGTTTGTCTGCTGTGGTCAGATTTGGCCTGCGGGGGATGAGGTTGTAAACTGTTAAGATTAATGGAAGTCTGAGGGAAGGATTGCTTGAGGCCAGGAATTTGAGAATAGCCTGGGCCACAGAGCAAGACTCTCTACAAAAAATACAAAACTTAGCCAGGCATGGTGGTGCACACCCGTAGTCCCAGCTACATGGGAGGCTGAGGTGGGAGGATCACTTGAGCCTAGGGGTTCAAGATTATAGTAATCCATGATAGAACCACTGTACCCCAGCGTGGACTACAGAACAAGACTCTGCCTCTAAAAAACAAATAATTTTTTTAAAAAGAATAATCATTGTATTAGTCTGTTTTCACACTGCTGATAAAGGCATACCTGAGTCTGGGAAGAAAAAGGTTTAATGGAGTTAAATTCTACGTGGCTGGGGAGGCCTCAGGATCATGGCAGAAGGCAAGGAGGAGCAAGTCACATCTTACTTGGATGGCAGCAGGCACAGAGAGAGCTTGTGCAGGGAAATTCCTGTTTTTAAAACCATCAGATTGCCGGGCGCGGTGGCTCAAGCCTGTAATCCCAGCACTTTGGGAGGCCGAGGCGGGTGGATCACGAGCTCGAGAGATCAAGACCATCCTGGTCAACATGGTGAAACCCCGTCTCTACTAAAAGTGCAAAAAATTAGCTGGGCATGGTGGCACGTGCCTGTAATCCCAGCTACTCAGGAGGCTGAGGCAGGAGAATTGCCTGAACCCGGGAAGCGGAGGTTGCAGCGAGCCGAGATTGTGCCATTGCACTCCAGCCTGGGTAACAAGGGCGAAACACCGTCTCAAAAAAAAAAAAAAAAAAAAAACAAAAAACAAACCATCAGATCTCGTGAGACTTACCACCAAGAGAACAGCATGGGAAAGAACCATCCCCATGATTCAGTTATCTCTGACTGGGCCCCTTCTGCAACCCGTGGGAATTATGGGAGCGACAAGATGAGATTTGGTTGGGGACCCAGAGCCAAACCACGTCAGTCACTCATCAGAAGGATTCCTTTGCCCTTTGGCGGTGCACATGGTTTGTATCGGGTTCCACCTTGAAGAGCCCCATGAGTTTGTAGTGGTGTGAGAACTGTAACTGGTCTTACAGGTGAAGAAACTAAGGCAAGACGGTGGCCTAGGCCATCCAGTCGGTGATGGAGGTACCCAGCGTCTGTATTTAGCATTCCCAGGCTGCTCTGGGAGAGGCTGAGGGCAGCACAAGAGCTGGGGGAGCCCTGTGGGCGGGAAGCCTACTGGAGCAGGAAGGCCAGTGGGGCCGGCCCGCAGGGTGGGAAAAGGGCCCAGCTCTGCAGCCGGTGCCATCTCCACTGCCCTGTTGTCCACCCTGCAGTAGAAGCACCATGCCGGGGCTGTTGTGGGGCTGGCAGGCAAGTGGGGTTCAGGATGACTATGGGTCCTTGAAGGACAGGAGTCTGCAGGGAGCACCTTCTGTGTGCAGGCCCTTCCCCAGGACTGGCTCTCCAAGGAAGCCTCACAGTCCCTTCCAGGTCCCCCTCTGGCCAGTGTCACTGACAAGGGTTTGCTTTCAGTCCCTGGCCGAGCCTTGGGGCAGGCTCAGCTATACTCAGAAGTGATTCACCGTGAGGTAAAGAGGGAGAGAGACACAAAGAATGGGATGCATGTTTAAGGGCACTGTATTTGGCAGGGAACCAGAGATGTGAGTTAATTATTTCCTACAGTTGCTGGAAATAATTCCCTGTGAAGGGGCATTTCCTGACCCTTACATAATAGAACAAGTCAGTGTAGGGAGGAGGAGTTTAGCTGGGTTCCCAGAAGCCCGGGTGGCTCAGGGCCAGGGTTGGCTGGAGCCTAGGCCCTCCGACTGTACCTTGGGGAGGAGCCAGGGCATCCCAGGATTATCATGCCAGGCCAGGCACCCAGAGGTGGCATCTTGATAAAGCAGATTGGCCTCCACTCACTGTTTCTCCCTGCCCTCCTGTTTAAAAAATACAGAATGGGCCAGGCGCGGTGGCTCAAGCCTGTAATCCCAGCATTTTGGGAGGCCGAGGCGGGTGGATCACGAGGTCAAGAGATCGAGACCATCCTGGTCAACATGGTGAAACCCCGTCTCTACTAAAAATACAAAAAAAAAATTAGCTGGGCATGGTGGCGCGTGCCTGTAATCCCAGCTACTCAGGAGGCTGAGGCAGGAGAATTGCCTGAACCCAGGAGGCGGAGGTTGCGGTGAGCCGAGATCGCGCCATTGCACTCCAGCCTGGGTAACAAGAGTGAAACTCCGTCTCAAAAAAAAAAATACAGAATGGTATTAAGAAATGAATGTTTTTCGTATTCTTAACACACTGCCTCCCACCTCCGATTTAAATCTAATGATATATTTTGTCCATGTTATGAAAAAAGCTTACAAACTTGTAATCTCAGTGTGTGTGTGTGTGTGTGTGTGTGTGTAATGTATAACCGAATATTATACTTTAAACCAAAAGCCTTCTATCATGAGCGTTTTCTCATGACATTAACTGTGGAGAGCTGATTTTCTTTTCTTTTCTTTTCTTTTTTCTTTCTTTCTTTTCTTTTCTTTTTTCTTTTTCTTTCTTTTTTTTTTTTTTTTTGAGATGCAGTCTTGCTGTGTTGCCCAGGCTAGAGTGCAGTGGTGCAATCTCAGCTCACTGCAACATCCACCTCCTGGGTTCAAGCAATTCTCCTGCCTCAGCCTTCTAAGTAGCTGGGACTACAGGCACGCACCACCACACCTGGCTAATTTTTGTATGTTTAGTAGAGATGGGGTTTCACCATGATGGCCAGGCTGGTCTCAAACTCCTGATGTCAGGTGATCCATCTGCCTCAGCCTCTTACAGTGCTAGGATTACAGACGTGAGCCACTGCACCCAGACTGAGAGCTGGTTTAATGATCATGTGAAGTTCTGTTTTATGGAGATGCTATAATCCATCTAGCGAGCCCTGTTGTTGGACATGTAAGGTACTTTCCAAATTCTTCTGCAACAAATGTCGACCTTCTGTTTAGGGTTCCTTCTCTTCGTATTAGTTCATGTCTGGATGTTTGCAGCCCCCTACCCCTAACTCTAACAGCTCAGGCAATACCAAGCCTCAGGGTTAGCCTAGGCTCCTGTAGGCCCCCTTTCCTGTCCACAAACCCTTCCTTGGATTCTCCTCGGGACCTTAGAGCCTCCTCTGACCTGAGCCTGTTGGCCCTGTAGGGCTTAGCCTTGTGCCTAGTCTCAAAGCCCAAAACTGTGCTGGGCCTCCCGTGCTGACCTCAGTTTGGCTTCCCTGGAAGTGGGTGTGGGCTTGGGGTGGCAGCCAGTTGGCTCTCCTGGAATCCCTTTCTGGGAAGTCGAGTTCCCTACAGGCCTCTCTGGTTCAGCCCCATCATGTGGCCCCTTTCTGGAGCTGCCGTGCCAGACTGGAGCCCCTCCAGGGTCTCAGCCCCCTCAAAACCCATAGGGGAAAGAGGAGGTGAGGCTGGGACAGAATAGGGCCTCTGAAGTATGGGCCTGAGGCTTTGTCCTTTTGGCCATGGAACCAGAGGCCTGGCCTGGCCTGGTGGAGGCCACAGAAGAGTAGCTTGAGGCAGGGGAGGCTGCAGGGAGCGCTCCCAACCTGCTGGCATGTGGAAGTGCTGAGTCATGCTGACCGCTCCCGGGCTGGCTGGCCCAGCCTCTTCCCGCTGGCCCTGCCTTGGCCCTGCAGCAGGGAGGCCTGGAGGCTTGAACTGCTGAGCCTGCAGCCGGGTTGAGGGCCTTTTCCTGCAGAAGCAGGAGGGCAGCTGTGTCCCCTCTGAGCCCAACCAGGCACCAGCCTCATTTCCTGGAGCCACACAGCTAGACACTGGGCAGGGTAAGGGGAGGTGCCCAGGTCCCATGATTCCTCACCCTATGTGCATGCCTGCACTGAAAGGAGTGGACATCTGGCTGCAGTCAGGCCTGCGTTTGCATCCTGGCTCAGCAACTTCCTGACAGCGCGACCTTCAGACAAGTCCTGTGTCTGTTGATGTCATCCCTCTGCCAACCCCATCCCCTCATGTCTCCGAGGCTGGGCTCAGAGTTCCTGAACTGGTCTCCCTTCCTCTAGCCTCACCCGCCCGCTCACTTCTCCCCTGGGGCTAGGGAATGTTCTGTGGTTCTGTTTGCCGGGGTAATTTATTCCTAGTTCAATGCTTTTTTTTTTTTGGAGACAGGGTCTTATTCTGTCACCCAGGCTGGAGTGCAGTGGCACGATCTCAGCTCACTGCAACCTCTGCCTCCTGGGTTCAAGTGATTCTCCACGCCTGATTTTTTTTGTATTTTTTATAGAGATGAGGTTTTACCATGTTGGCCAAGCTGATCTCAAACTCTTGACCTCAAGTGATCTGCCTGCTTCAGCCCCCAACATGCTGGGAGTACAGGTGTGAGCAACCATGCCCAGCCTGTGCTCTTTTTAACATGTCTCACTGTCTTGAAAAGATCACGGTTGCCTGTGTTGAGGGGAGAAGGCCCCTAGGGTAGAAAAAGGGCCAGGTCCAGCCTCAATCTTGGAGTCAAGGGCCCGCCATGCATGCTCCATCCTCCGCCTGAGCTCTCTTGCTCCGGGGTGTTGCCTGGAGTGCCTCAGCCCTCCCTGGCCCAGCTCCCTCCTCCAAGCAGAAGCAGAGCTTGGTTCCCAAGATTCCCTTTTTCCCACTGGCACACCCAGCCATCCCAGGGCCTCCTCCAACCTCTGGTTCACAGTGGGGTCCGTCCCCTGCAGGAAGTGTCTCACGCGCGTCCACCCACTCTTCCTCACTTTCCTCTTGCTCCAGCAACCCCCGTTTTTTAGATCTTACCAGCCAGATCCCTGTTGTCCTAGACTTCTGTTTCTTAACAATCAGTACTTTTTTCTGAGCTCCTGACGGCTTTCTTCATGGCCATTTTCTCTTGGGGTATGGCATGAGGTGGGCTGCAGGGACATGGTGACACTGTTGTGCTTTGAGTGTAAATACCGTCTGTTTTGCATAGTCACACGTGACTGCTCCTTTACCCAGAGTACAGGCTCCTTGGAGGGGTCGGGGCTGGGTCCCGGGCTGAGAGCTGGTTTAATGATCATACAATGTTCTATTTTATAGCGATGCTATAATCCAACTGCAGGCTCCTTGGAGGGGTGGTGTCAGGAGCCAGTTGGGTCCAGGTGAGAGGGACCGGCCTGACTCACTGTCTGTTCACAGCTACCGAGTCTATTGCTTGCTGGGAGACGGGGAGCTGTCAGAGGGCTCTGTGTGGGAGGCCATGGCCTTTGCCAGCATCTACAAACTGGACAACCTCGTGGCCATTCTTGACATCAATCGCCTGGGCCAGAGCGACCCGGCACCGCTGCAGCACCAGATGGACGTCTACCAGAAGCGGTGCGAGGCCTTCGGGTACGTATGAGGCTGTGGCCTGGGCATGGTCACAGCATGGAGAGTGGTTTGTGATCGCAGCTACGCAGGTGCAGGAGCTAAAGCTGGGATTTTAAGCCCCATCTACAGGTCCCTTTCTTTAGCATTTGACTCACAATTTCAAACTGTAGGCATTTGGACTTAGCGGCCCAGGCCACCACCATGGATTTGTGGGCTAGGCCCAGTTTTAAGTGAGTTCCCTTGTTTTTGTGGTTGTGGCATGGTGGTTCGCAGAGCTTCCACACATCATCTTACATAGGCTCACTTTGTTCTTGAGGGAGGAGGTTTTTTTTTTTTCTTTTTTTTGGAGACGGAGTCTCGCTCTGTCACCCAGGCTAAAGTGCAGTGGCATGATCTTGGCTGACTGCAACCTCTGCCTTTAAGGTTCAAGCGATTCTCCTGCCTCAGACTCCCAAGTAGCTGGGATTACAGGTGCGTACCACCACACCCAGCTAATTTTTGTATTTTTAGTAGAGATGGTGTTTCACCATGTTGGCCAGGCTGGTCTCGAACTCCTGACCTCAAGTGATCTGCCTGACTTGGCCTCCTAAAGTGCTGGGATTATAGGCATGAGCCACCATGTGGCTGAGGGAGGAGGGTTCTTGAGGGATGGGGGCTCGCTCGGTAAAGCTAAACGACATATATACCTATGGAGAGATTTTAACTTCAGTTTGGGGGCCACCTCCTGTGCCCAGCCCCAGCCAGCCTGGGGAAGAGGAGCAGGCCGTGGTGAAATAGGAGAGAGGGTTTCCAGATGCCCCCCTTGGGCCTTGACTGATTACGAATTCAGGGTCAAAGGGCACAAAGTAGGGAGGTGGGTCTGCATGGGTGTCAGCCAGAGGGACCCACCTCAAAGCCTCCACCGTGGCCCCAGACAAGCTGCTCCGCAGAGGGACCCAGCATTGGCTGAGGAGGCTGTGGAGGGGAGGGAGTAGGGCAGGGGCCATGCAGGGCTTTGGGACCTAGGTCAGGCCTCCACAGCTGCCTTTTGTAGATGAGCCCATGCCTGTGACTACACTAAATGACAAGATGCTTGGGGTTACCTTGCAGTGGCACAGCAGACACAGGCCTGTGTTCCCTGATGACTGACCTCAGAAAGGGAGAGGGGGAAGGGGGGAAATCATTTCAGTTGGACAGACCAGGAGACTGAGCCACAAGGTCTTCACCCCACAGGCATCTCAAGGCCACATCGATCTGGGGACTCAGAGTAAAACCCCAGCAGCACCCCCAGGACCTGTGTCCATAACCTCATGGCTCAAGCCAGGTTCCTGAAGTCCTGGCTCCACCGCTAACTTGCTTCGTGGCGTGGGGCATGTTACTTACTCCACCTTCGGTGTCTCAGTTGATTTGTCTGTAAAATGGGGGGCAACTCAGCAACCAGGCACAGCGTGGTGAGGCTTCAGCGGGCTCATATGGGTAGTGCTTGGCATGGCGCCTGCACAGAGGAAACACTCAGTTTGAGTGGTGCTCTTTTTATTATGCCAGAAAGAGTCCCCAAAAGGACTCCTTTTCAAGAGAAAGGCTGTTCTGCCCCAGCTCCTTCCTGTATATTTGACAACATGGTTCATTTCATAAAAGTTTCCAGCACCATATCTAGCATCTGTGGAGTGATCAGATGTGTTCCCTGAATAAAAATTGGGCCAAAAAATTCTTCAAGAATCTAATAACAGATTCCAAACCCAGTGTGCTGACCCCAGAACAGCTTTCAGTAGGAAATGAGCAGATCAGGAATGAAAGAAACAATAAAGGAACTGAGCTCTGGATTACTTAGGAAGAGGAGGAAAACCTGTTCAGAGGCAAACAAAAGGAAGTAAAATAATGTGAAAAAGAAAAGGATTTAAAAAAAAACAAACCCAAACTGGAAGCAGGAATGTTGCACACTTTCTACGACTCCAGCTCAGGCTGCAGCCGTGGGGTAGAGCCTGGGCAGACCCCCAGATGACAAGGCAGACCTTTCTCTGGGAGGTTCCTTGGTGCTGTGGCGCCTGGGCATTGCCCCTTGCTCTCTGCCCCTTGTCCCCAGTTGGCATGCCATCATCGTGGATGGACACAGCGTGGAGGAGCTATGCAAGGCCTTCGGCCAGGCCAAGCACCAGCCAACAGCCATCATTGCCAAGACCTTCAAGGGCCGAGGGATCTCAGGTCAGTATGCATGAGCTGCCCTCCCCACCTTCACCCCTGACCTGGGCCCTGTGGCTACATAGCTCTGACTCTCAGGTCCAGAGAAATACCAGCCCTTGCTGCTCACTGAATACGCTAGGCTCCAGGGAACGGGAGTGGGAGACGCTATGACTCAGTGACCCCATGGCTGAGCCAGGATTTGAACTCTGCCGGGATGGGGGGGCATATACAGGCAGAAAGAGAGGAGGGACTTGGAGGGTCTGTGGGTGAGGGGAAGGCACCTAGCTGGCACCTTTCAGAGCTGCAGCTCTGTGTGCTCTGCCAGCTCCGACCATCTGCCCCAGCTAAAGGGCCAACACAGCCAGGCAGGGCCTGGAGTGGCCTGCTCTCTCCAGGAGGTGAGTGGGGCACTCCTCAAGCAATGGCTGGTACTTAGCAAGGCCTGTGTGGGCCAAGAGCTTTGGGCTTCTGCCCCAGGCTGGAGAATGAGGCAGGTGTAAGCTACTCCCTGGCAGCCAGGTATGGTCTCCAGATCCCTAGGCCTGGAATGGCCCTCACCCATTTTAAAGATGGGGAAATTAGGCTACAAGTGTCCTTTTGCCTGGGGATAGAGGAAGTCTGTGGCATGAGGTGGGGCTGATTCCAGGGCCTGGGTCAGCTTCCCTGCCAAATGCCCCTGACTGCCCACCTGCCTGCCCCTAGGGGTTGTGGCTCGTCCTGCCCATGTAGACTCAGGTATATAAGGACATTCTGAGAGGGGGTTTGGCAGTGCTGGGAGGTGTCTGGGAGGGGATGGATATTGAGGAAAGGGCTCTGGGGTATTGTCATGGCTTTGGTGCTCCTGCCTGGCACTGCCCTCAGGTGTTCATAATACTGGGCAGGATCTGGACCACCTGCAGCTTCTGGGGAGCTCCTGCTAATCTCGGGTGCTGCCTGGGAGGGTCAGTATGTTCTTGGCTCTGGCCAGACTCCAGTGCTACTGAGGTGACCTCCAGGGAGGGGGATATTCAGCCTTGCTGACCCCACACAGCAAGGGCTCAGCACTCCTAGGTGCTTATAGACCCCTCTGCTGCTCACAGATGCATCAAGTGACCGTGGCAGAACACACCCTGTTCTGGGCCTTGGCTTCCCCTTCTGATGGGTGGGGGTGTGGGAAGGAAGAGAAGGGACACATTGGTGAAGGGATGGGGCAATGGGCCCAGAAATACACACCTGCTCATGCATGGTCCCTCCTTTCCCACTTGGCTGTGAGCTCCCGGAGGACCAGGCAGTAGACAGTGAGCGCTGGGCACACAGGACTCCATCCTGTTCACTGTGACCCTCCTTTCCTGGCCCCTGTGACTGCTGGGCTCCACCATTCCTCCCTTGCCCTCAGCAGGTGGGGGGCCAGGCTCCTGGGGCAGTCTCCGGCCCTCTAGGAACTTCTGTCTTACCCCTTCCTCTGTCCTCTCGTGTTGGGCCTGCAGGGGTAGAAGATAAGGAGTCTTGGCATGGGAAGCCCCTCCCCAAAAACATGGCTGATCAGATCATCCAGGAGATCTACAGCCAGATCCAGAGCAAAAAGAAGATTCTGGCAACGCCCCCGCAGGAGGACGCCCCGTCGGTGGACATTGCTAACATCCACATGCCCAGCCCACCCAGCTACAAAGTTGGGGACAAGGTACAAAGTGGGGCCTCCTTCTCTGGACCCGTAGTTCTCAGGTTCCCCAAGGCTGTGGCCCAGATATGTCCTCCGGAGGGCTGGGAAAGGGAGGAGAGTGATTCGTTTAGGGCGAGGAGTGATCCCTGAGGTGTCGTTCCTGTCACTTCCCTCAGCAGGACAGACTGCTCTGGAGTTGACCTGCAGAGGCTCAGAGAGGGCAAGGGGCTTGCCCTCAGTCACTTAGCAAGCTACTGAAAGAGCTGGGATCAAAGCCGAGGACTCGCTCCCAAGTCCTTGCATCTTGGTCCACGAGGGACCCTTGGTCTCAGCTCAGGACCCCGACATGTCCTGGGAAAGGCTGGGCAGTGCTGTTCTGCTCTGGGTCCCTGTCCCAAGGGAACCCATTTATGCGGCCTGCTCCTGGCTTTGACTCCCAAGCCTCAGGCAAAGTGGGATAGGTTCATAGACCTGGCACAGCAGGCGGGGATGTTGGGGCTGGTGGGTGTCTTCTGCAGCTTATACCTTCCACAGCTGGGCTACGGGTAGGGGGCTCCAGGGGCTCCCAAGACATTGACTAGTCGTTGGCAACCTTACAGCAGTTAAAAGTCTCCAGGACCTTGTGCTCTTGGGCTCTTATTTTTGGCCCTGTTTTAATCCTTCTCTAAAAGCTATGGCTCCGGAGGCAGGCAGGGCTCCAGGCTGCAGCCGTGTACATATTCTGAGAGGGGTCCAGAGCCTTCCCACTCTTCCCTGCAGATAGCCACCCGCAAGGCCTATGGACAGGCATTGGCCAAGCTGGGCCATGCCAGTGACCGCATCATCGCCCTGGATGGGGACACCAAAAATTCCACCTTCTCGGAGCTCTTCAAAAAGGAGCACCCGGACCGCTTCATTGAGTGCTACATTGCCGAGCAGAATATGGTGGGTGCTGGGGTGGGCTGGCAGGGGCAGGTCCAGCCGAGGCTGATGGCTGTGGTCTGAGGGGTATGGGACAGCCACGTTGCCAGAGCCAGGTGCCTGCTGTGGGCCGGACCAGGGAAGCCGTAAGAAAAGCCAGGACCCAGCTGGGTGCGGTGGATCACGAGGTCAAGAGATCGAGACCGGCCGGGCATGGTGGCTAAAGCCTGTAATCCCAGCACTTTGGGAGGCCGAGGCGGGTGGATCACAAGGTCAAGAGATCGAGACCATCCCGGTCAACATGGTGAAACCCCGTCTCTACTAAAAATACAAAAAATTAGCTGGGCATGGTGGCGCGTTCCTGTAATCCCAGCTACTCAGGAGGCTGAGGCAGGGGAATTGCCTGAATCCAGGAGGTGGAGGTTGCGGTGAGCCGAGATCGCGCCATTGCACTCCAGCCTGGGTAACAAGAGTGAAACTCCGTCTCGGAAAAAAAAAAGAAAAGAAAAGCCAGGACCCAGCGTTAACCCCTGACCTTGAGTAGCCACAGTTTGGGAGGTCCTACCCAGGTGCAAATGTCCTGGATGGGTGTGCATGTGGGGAGCTGAATGGAACTGCAGGTGCTCTCAGGAGGAGCGCGTGCAGCCAGGTGGTGAATGGGTCTCTTCCAGGTGGAGGGCAGGCCTGGCCAGTAGGCAGGGCCGTGATGGGTTTAGCAGCCAGAGCAACTGTAATGCACACGGCTCTGGGTCCTGCCACCCTGAGGGATGCAGAGATGAGGGAACTCTGGGCCCCAGACATGTGCCCAGCTGGGGAAGCAGCCCCTTGTCAGGAACTGAGGTTGTAAAGTAAGGAACAATGTTTTGTCCTTTTTTTTTTTTTTTTTTTTTTTTTTTTTTTTTCAAAATATCCCCTCCTGGTAGTCTAGGAACCTAGCCTGGCTTGCAGGCCCCTAGGGACAGGGAGTTTCCTCTCTCTGGAGGGCACTCACATCTTCAGGGGTCTTCCAACTGGACCTGAAATTATCTCTGGTTTCCAGAAACTGCTCTGCAGGGTGTGGGACTGGGGAGGCCTCAGGTGCTGGGGAAAGAGGCCTCGTGTTGGCTGACAGATTTTGGAGCCTTGCAGGCAGCTGTCTGGAACTGATGACTGTACTCAGTGCTGCTTCAGGATGAGGAATTTGGGGCCTGAAGCCTCAGCAGGCATGAGGCTACTGCCCTCGGACCCCAAGGAGGGGCTGGGAGGACCTGTCTCTGCAGGAGAAGGTGGTGGTGGACATACTCAGAACCCCAGAAAGGATAGACAATCTATACACAAACTGTGGCCTTCTCCAAGAAAGGGGTCCCAGGCTCCCCAGCCACCCTCTGCCCGCCCCTTTGGGCTGACCCTGCCCCACCTGCCCCCAGGTGAGCATCGCAGTAGGCTGTGCCACCCGAAGCAGGACGGTGCCCTTCTGCAGCACGTTTGCAGCATTCTTCACGCGAGCCTTCGACCAGATTCGAATGGCCGCCATCTCCGAGAGCAATATCAACCTCTGCGGCTCCCACTGCGGCGTTTCCATCGGTGAGTTTGGCCAGGGTATTTCCACCTGGAAATCCCTTGACTTTTGCCCCTGGAGGTATGGGAGGGAGCTGGGCCAGGATTCCAGCCCATGGCCGGGGGGGTTCTTATTTCTGCATATCCTTCCCCACACCCCAGGGGAAGACGGGCCCTCCCAGATGGCCCTGGAAGATCTGGCCATGTTTCGGTCAGTCCCCATGTCAACTGTCTTTTACCCAAGTGATGGTGTTGCTACAGAGAAGGCGGTGGAACTAGCCGCCAACACAAAGGTAGGTCTCACGGCTGTTCTTTCTCCCACTGGCAGCTGTCGATTCCCGAGGCAGACAGAAGAAGAGGCCAGAGCTGGTCACTCGCTTCCCCAGGGGGTGTTTCCTGACCTTGCCCCTGGTGTTTGTGTAGCTTGCGGAAGTTAGACAAGAAAAAACAAAACACGCCCCACTTACTGCCCCATGGCAGACATTGCCAACCAAATGCCACAGTCTATTTCCGTGGAGAATCCTGCAGCCCTGGCCAGTCCCGCAGTTGGCACCTGTCCACCCTTCTGAGTCGGGTTCTCCAAGACAGGCAAGGATGAGCTAAGCTGTATGGTCCAAGCCCGCAGCTGCACTCCACAGACCCAGTGCCCGGTGCTTCCTGCCCCTCTGCCTGGTGCACTCTGGGAGTAGCCCACCTGCAGCCAGTCTACCTGATGGAAAGCTGCCTTCAATCTGGGCTGCAAGGTGGCGGGCAGTTCTCAGAATGTTCAGGGCAGTGCAAATGGCAGAGGACAAGCAAGGCCCTTTTCCCTGCTGGAGTAGCCAGGACGTGGTGACGAACACTCCCATGAGAAGGGATGGCCTCTGGAAAGCCTCGTCTCCAAGGTTGGGTGTGCTACCTCCTGGATCCTTAGATTCTGTTTCGGTCCCAGGGTATCTGCTTCATCCGGACCAGCCGCCCGGAAAACGCCATCATCTATAACAACAATGAGGACTTCCAGGTCGGACAAGCCAAGGTCAGTGTCTTGCACACCCCAGGAGCCCACAGAGCTGCCCGGACCCTCCCTGCTATGACTCCCAGCAGTCGGGGCCCACCCTGCCCCAAGGCCCTAAGCGTTACTCGCCCTCTGTCTCGCCCCCAGGTGGTCCTGAAGAGCAAGGATGACCAGGTGACCGTGATCGGGGCTGGGGTGACCCTGCATGAGGCCTTGGCCGCTGCTGAGCTGCTGAAGAAAGGTAAGGAGAAGGGGCCTCCGAAGGCATCAGTTGAGTGCCCACCGCATGCTACGTCCTGGGTTCTTTCTTTTTTTTTTTTTTTTTTGAGACGGTGTTTTGCTCTTCTTACCCAGGCTGGAGTGCAATGGCACGATCTTGGCTCACTGCAACCTCCGCCTCCTGGGTTCAGGCAATTCTCCTGCCTCAGCCTCCCGAGTAGCTGGGATTACAGGCACGCGCCACCATGCCCAGCTAGTTTTTTGTATTTTTAGTAGAGACGGGGTTTCACCATGTTGACCAGGATGGTCTCGATCTCTCGACCTCGTGATCCGCCCGCCTCGGCCTCCCAAAGTGCTGGGATTACAGGCTTGAGCCACCGCGCCCGGCCGAGTAGGAATTGATTAGTAGAGAGGAGAGCTCATCCTTGCCTGTCTTGGAGAACCGGGCCAGGCAGGAGCAAGATGGGGCTGGAGGAGCCAGGGGAGACCCAGCGGGGGCGAGCTTTAAGCAGGGCCTGGCAGGCCTGGGTTTGTCCTTCTGAGAAGGTGGTTCTGCTTCTGGGGCCACACCTGGCCTGACTCTGCTGGCTGCAGCTCCCCCATGCCACCACATCAGCCCTCACCTTCTCTCAGGTCAGACACCTGGAATGTTTCCTCTGGCATTCCCTTTGTTCAAGGGCGTGGGAGCCCGAAGGAAGGCGCTCAAGGCCTGCACGCTCCTCTCGGGCTTCTTGGAGGGTGTGGGCAACGCAGCTGGCTCAGATGCCCCAGTGCAAGGGGTTGGCAGGCATGAGCTCAGCCATGGGAACGAGGTGGCAAGTGATTGTCACTGGGACAGGGACAGGCCCGCAGGCTGAGCTGTTGGCTACACGCAGCCTGCACCGCCAGGGCAGATGGTGGTGCCCAGCCCTCTCCTCAGCCACGCCGTGTGCTCTCCCTCACAGAAAAGATCAACATCCGCGTGCTGGACCCCTTCACCATCAAGCCCCTGGACAGAAAACTCATTCTCGACAGCGCTCGTGCCACCAAGGGCAGGATCCTCACTGTGGAGGACCACTATTACGAAGGTAAGGGGCCTGGGGCAGGCGGGCTGGGCAAGGGGCAGGGCCAGAGAGCCCAAGGGCCAGGCATGCCTCTTCTGTCTGAGCTCCAGGAGGGCAGCTGTGGCCCAGAACACCCAGAGCTGTCCCTCGAGCTGCTGGGACGTGGCCTCTTAACAGACCTCAGGCTTAGCCTGGGGACCCCCCTAACTCACGGCTGCTGACAGGCTCTGTGGAGACTAGTGAGGATTCTAGCCTCGCTGCTAAATGGTGGATGGCGGTGTCCCTGAGGTAGGGTAGGGTTGAAGCTGTGGTGTAGCTTGGAAAGTAATGTGGAACATGCGGTATTTGTGAGTCCACGCAGCAGGCTCCATAAGTACACACTAGCCCCTCCAAAGAGGAGGCCCCAGTGGGAGACGGGCCTTGACTCTGGGGTCAAATGTAGATATCGGACTATGGATGGTGGCTGCCCGGAGGATGGCGTTTGAAACAAAAACATATTTAGTGGCCACATTTGGGCTTATAACAATAACCAGTTCTGGGCCGGGAGTGGTGGCTCATGCCTGCAATCCCAGCACTTTGGGAGGCCAAGGGCGCCAGATTTCTTGAGTTCAGGAGTTGGAGACCAGCCTGGGCAACAAGACGCAAACCCGTCTCTTTAAAATAATAAAAGCAGTGAGTTGTGCGACGGGCTGGTGGCCGCTGTGCTGCGGGTGGAGAAGGGCGGTGGTGTGCAGCTGAGGGCGGGCCGGGCCCGTCACTGCTCGCCCTGACGCCTCACCGTCCCACTCCCGTCCTTTCATTTCTAGGTGGCATTGGGGAGGCTGTGTCCACTGCAGTAGTGGGCGAGCCTGGCATCACTGTCACCCGCCTGGCAGTTGACCGGGTGCCAAGAAGTGGGAAGCCGGCCGAGCTGCTGAAGATGTTCGGTATTGACAAGGACGCCATTGCGCAAGCTGTGAGGGGCCTCGTCGCGAAGGCCTAGGGCTGGAGTGAGGTGTGGGGCGGGGGTCTACACATTCCCGAGATTCTGGGAAAGGTGCTCAAAGATGTACTGAGAGGAGGGGTAAATATATGTTTTGAGAAAAATGAACTGGCCTGGAAACGTTTTCTTTGATGTGTTGGCAGCCAGCGTTGGTTCTGGGGAAGAAGGGTGGCGGGCGCGCTAGGGAGGCTGGTGTCCTTGGCTCTGTCAGGACCTGGGTGTCCCAAGTCCCCTTGGAATCACCTGCAAATGCCCTCAACCTTCAGAGCTGCCACTGCCCTTCCAGGGTGACATTTGACTGCGACCTGCCTTCTGGCTGAGTGGCTGAGGCCCACATCCCTCACCTTGGCCTCAGGCAGCCTGGCCCTAAGGGGCTGGGGAATTGCCTGGGTCTGGAAGCTGACCAGGTGCTCTCAGGGCTGCCCCACCTTCCCCACGGCCCCACAGCCTTGCAGTCAGGTTTCCTGGGGTGGGGAGGTTCACTTGCTCATTGTCCCTCATCCTTGTCATACCCTCTTAGCCAGGCATCTCAGAGAAGCAGAGACAGGGTAGCCTTCGTCCTGGGGGAAAAGGGACCCTCAGGATGGCATCACACATCCTCAATCCCAAGTGTGGAACTGTCTCCCTCAACTTGTTAAAATGCAGATTTCTTGGTCTTGCCACTAGGGCCTGGGACTCCATGTGACAACTGGCCCCGGAGCTTCTGATGTCACACACAGAATTCTGCAGGCCCCAGCTCCAGCTCCGTCCTGCTCTGCTGCTCTTAGGGGACTGCTCTCATAACTGCTGACCACAGCGGATTTCTCCCCCTGCTGCTCAGGCTCAGCTGGAGTCAGCTCTGCTTATAAGGCCAACGTGCAGAACCTTTTACTGGTCTGGAACAAACTCGTGCTGCAGAGGGAGGGTTGGGTGCCCCGGCTACTGCTGGGGTCCCCAGGAAAGCCTCAGAGCTGTTGGAAGGATGACACATTTGTGGACATGTCCACCTGACAATCTGGAGAGAATAAACCTGTCCAAGCCAAAGTCAGGTAACTGCTGTCCACTTAGCTACTCGGCCAAGTCTGGCAGTGCCAGGGGCTGTGCTGTTTGTCTCAACCCCAGTTCCAGAGGGAGCAGGCATGGGGTGACATGGTTGGATCCCAGAGAGGTGCCCTGGACTGATGGCTGTTCACTAGTGTGTGGAGGGCAGACCTGGGTTTGGAACCTGGGTCTGTGACTCTAGCGAGCTTCTGCCCCTACTGCCCCTGGGGGCCTCAGAAGAAGAATCATTCCCACAGGACGATGGGGATAGCCCAGGACTCGGGTCCTGTGTGTCTCCAGAGCCCACAGGCCCCTATGGAGAATCTAGAGGCAAATACTTGAACGAGGGCCCCCGAGCCATAGGTACAGGCCCAGCCTGCAGCCTAGTGAGCCCGTCTACACTGGCTAGCCGTGCCCCACAGCTGAATAGCTGTGTGCTGGGCCATCACCCCTGAGAGCCAGGCCCTGACTGTCCATCACCAGCCTGGCCTGCTATAGGCAGAAACCTGTGCTTCTGTCCGGGAAGGCCCTGGCTGACCCAAAGCAGAGGGACAGGAAGGGCAGCTGTCCTCACCCGAGCCTGCCTGGCCTTTCCCAGGCCCACACAGCTTGTGCAGGAGGAGAGGCAAGACCCTGACCCAGTCACTGAGACGCAGTCCTGGGACATCAAGGCCACAGGAAGTGGGGACATTCTGAGATCCCAGGCCACAGTGAGCTCCAAAAACCATGCCTCATTTTTGGCAAGAGGACTTAGTGTATAACATGCTCGTGTAGGACATGCTTGGTGTGGAGTGTGCTGGAAGCTGTCACTGGGCCCTTATGGGAACCTGATGAACTTGTCATTTCTCCCTCAGGCCCTGCTCAGGAAGTACAGGAAGCCACAACAGTGCCTGTGGCATCGTGTCTCCTTGGCCTGCCTGGAGGCTGGTGTGGCCTGGCCTGACCTGTCAGCCAGCAGGGACTGGCAGGGCCTGATGGCAGAGGCAGCTGTGCAGGAGAGCAGCATGACCACACAGAGGCCTAAGACAAACTTTCCTGGTACCAGTGGACGCCCCTCCCAGCCCCGCTGGTAAAGGGGAGGCCAAGGCTACAATCCACACAGCCACAAGCCGGATGCAGCTGCAAGGAGGAGGGCGTGCTGGTGACCCCTCATGCCCCAACCTGCTCCCGCTCAGGCAAAGGCTGCAGCAGCTGAGCCTGATTGGGGGGTGCGGGGCTGGAGGCTCCTTGCAAACTCCCCAGACCAAAACCACCTCCACTGCCCTCTGCTCAGTATGTGGGGCAGTCCTTTCTCCAGGCCTCAGTCACCTCATCTGTTCATTGGGAATCATGACAGCCTCACAAGGCTGTTGTGAGAATAAAACAAAGTGTTAATGCCTTCAGAACACTGCTAGGCAGATACAGGCTCAGAAGAAGTTGGAATTCCTAACAGTTCACAGGCAGAGGCACCTGGCTGGGGAGGGCCTTGGCACTGCATTGTGTGACTGCAGACACTTAGAAAGCACAGGCTTCTGCCTATACCAGGCCAGGCTGGTGACGGGCAGTCAGGGCCTGGCTCTCAGAGGTGATGGCCCAGCACACACCTATTCAGCTTGATTGTAACTGTCCTTAACACAGTCCTGACCTGCTGGGTTTTTATCAGCTTCACTGTGATATAATTCACATACCATACAATTCACCTATTTGAAGTGGATTATTCAGTGGGTTTTAATATATTCACCAAGTTGTCTAACAGTGTCACAGTCAATTCCAAAATATTTCCATCATCCCCAAAAGGAACCCTCTATCAGTCATCCCCTCTGCTGAGGGCCACACAGACACCTCTCGCTACAGAGCTGGGGTCACAGCTGTCCCCTGCTCCCACTAGAGATCCCCTCCCAATGATGGGTGTGTGTAGGGTGGGATCTGGGCCCTGCCATGAAGGAAAAAAACCAAATAGCTTATCCTGCTTCCCCACCTCCAGGGCGAGGCTCTGCCTGCAGGACCTGGGGCCCCATGTGTCCTCTCTGGTTCTCCTTGGGAGGCGGAAGAGGGGAGGGGAGGGTGAGGGCTATTGTGTGGGTGCACTGGGTGGGATTTCAGAAATCACCGATCTTTGGGGATGTGGGTTACGGACACATGGATCTACAATATGAATCATGAAAACACCTACACACAAAAGCTGGAAAAGGGACAGCAGAACCGTGCTGACTACCGGCTCCTTTCCCTGCTCAGTGAGGACCCCAAAGCAAGGTCTCCTGCCCCACTCTTCACTCCAGAGAAGGGGGTCACCCAAACATGGCCCTAAGGGCAAGAGAAAGAAAGTTTCACACTTTGAGTTGGGCCCAGGGGCTGCTGGCAACCCAAGTTGGACACTCAGGGCCCGTATTCACGCTGGTTTTGGTGCTGGTTTAATCTAGTTTAGGCACAACCATGGGAAGAATGTGCCCTTCGGTCCTAGTCTAGCTGGCAAGACAGAAAAGGGCTGCCCTAGGGGTGGGGGTTCTGCCACTGGCCCACAGCCTGGGCCTGAAAGCTGCCAAAGCCCCAGTTGGCTCAAGCTTCCATGAGACAGTATCATAGGCTGGGTGGCTCAAATAACAAAAGTGTGCCTCTCACTGTGCTAAAGGCTGGGAAATCCAAAATCAAGATGTTGCTCCTTCAGTTTCCAGCAAGGCTCTCTTCGGGGCTTGCAGGTGGCCTTGCCTCTGTGTGTGCTGGGGGCGGGAGGAGCGAGCCCTCTCCAGTGCCTCTTATAGTGTGAGGACACTAATCCCATCAGATCAGGGCCCCACCCTTAGGACCTCATTTAACCTTAGTTACCTTTTGACAGAACCTCTCTCCAAATACAGTCACATTAGGGGTTAAAGCTTCCAATTACGAATTTGGCCCCAGTTAGGGGACACAGCTCTGTCCATAGCAGCCCTCAAATCTGCCAAGTTCACAGTTTACTTCTCTCCCAGGGACACACTATTCTGGATGTTGGAACATGAAGTATAAGAGAAAAATGAAACTCTGAGATTTAAATAAGAAGAGGGGGCCGGGAGCAGTGGCTCATGCCCGTAATCCCAACACTTTGGGAGGCTGAGGCAGAAGGATCACTTTTGCCCAGGAGTTCAAGACCAGCCTGGTATCATGGAGAAACCCCATCTCTACACAAAATACAAAAATTAGCTGACAGCAGCATGCACCTGTGGTCTCAGCTACTCAGGAGGCTGAGGTAGGAGGTTCCCTTGAGCCTGGGAAATGGAGGTTGCAGTAAGGTGTGATCGCACCTTTGCATTCCAGACTGGGCAACAGGACAAGATCCTGCCTCAAAAAAATAAAATAAAATAAAATAAAACTAAGGAATGGGAAGAAGGAGGAAGTTTCTTTTTTTTTTTTTGAGATGGAGTTTCGCTCTTGTTACCCAGGCTGGAGTGCAATGGCGCGATCTCGGCTCACTGCAACCTCCGCCTCCTGGGTTCAGGCAATTCTTCTGCCTCAGCCTCCTGAGTAGCTGGGATTACAGGCACGTGCCACCACGCCCAGCTGATTTTTTGTATTTTTAGTAGAGAAGGGGTTTCACCATGTTGACCACGTTGATCTCGATCTCTTGACCTCGTGATTCACCCGCCTTGGCCTCCCAAAGTGCTGGAATTACAGGCTTGAGCCACCGCGCCCGGCCTAGGAAGTTTCTTTTTAAAAAAAGAACAGAGGCTGGGTGAGCTGGCTCATGCCTGTAATCCTAGCACTTTGGGAGGCCAAGGTGGGTGGATCACCTGAGATCAGGAGTTTGAGACCAGCCTGATCAACATGGTGAAACCCTGTCTCTACTAAAAATACAAAAATTAGCCAGGTGTGGTGGTATGCACCTGTAATCCCAGCTACTCGGGAGGCTGAGGCATAAGAATTGCTTGAACCTGGGAGGCGGCGGTCGCAGTGAGCTGAGATTGTGCCACTACACTCCAGCCTGGGTGATAGAGGAAGGCTCTGTCTCAAAAACAAAAAATTTTAAAAAGAGCCAGGCACAGTGGCTCAAGCCTGTAATCCCAGTACTTTGGGAGGTCGAGGCGGACAGATCATGAGGTCAAGAGATCAAGACCATCCTGGCCAACATGGTGAAACCT